AACTGCGTGGATCGATGCTCATAATATTAATCTCTGGATTGTCTGGTCCAGGCTCGATTATGTACAGATTGCCGACATATAGCTGGAATATTGCGGCGTTAAACAACAAACAAACAAATCATTGGGAATACCTCAACATGAAGGGATGGTACTCCCTGATTTTGCAAGTCATTTGTGATATAATTATTTCTTTGGGAACATAAAAAAAACTATAGATGCATCAATTATAGATAGAGCAGTGCGTGCATGACCATTGGTTGAATGAAAGGTCGCTGTAAAGTCCCCCCCCAAAAAAAAAAAACAAAAAAAAAACACAAAAAAAAACAAAACAAAAAACCCAACTCCGTGTCGATGTTAAGTTTGCCTGCCATGCAATTACATCATACGTCATATTTAACATCATCTGCGAGATGAGAGACAAATATATGATATTGCATGTGATGTTGAAGACGATGTTGACCCTATGGCACACCCAATTAATACCGAATTGATTTTACCATGTTTACAAATCCGCAATGCTGTAAAGCAAGCTTTTGCATGAGTCGAGTAAAACTAACATGATGTATGTTGGGTGTTTGTTGTTGTACGCCGCACTCAGCAATATTCCAGCGCTCTGTAAATAATTGAGTCTGGCCAGTGGGATATGATGACATGCATCAACCAAGTCAGCGAGGCTGACCACCCGATCCCGTTAGTCGTCTCTTACGGCAAGTCTAGTCACCTTTTACGGCAAGCATGGGTTGCTGAAGACCTATTCTACCCCGGATCTTCACGGGTTGTACTTGCATGTGACTGATGCCCTCTTTCGGGAGAGGTTATTTCATATTATTATTCGGGGATTGAAAGCGGTAATGACACTTCTGATATCATTTCTGTATTTGTTTGAACAATACATTATCAACAATAATATGTTCATGAATATCTTTATTCATTACAAATTTCGGTGGAGCGTATGCTGTGCACCGTCATCAGTTAAACATAATATTCCCCTGGTGTGAAGACAATGAAGATTTAGCCCCTGGTTGTAAAAAAAACATTCTTACGTTCTCGTTGGTGACCCATGAACATACGCGCCCCTGTAATTTGTGCTATATGTTCTCATGACCAAATTACAAATGTGCAAAAATCCATTGGCACTCCCTCCATACACAGGGGCATGTAACGCAAAAAAACAGCAGCATCCCACCAATGTCCTTTTCCCGAGAGAGAGAGAGAGAGAGAGAGAGAGAGAGAGAGAGAGAGAGAGAGAGAGAGAGAGAGAGAGAGAGAGCCTAGTGGATAAAGCGTTCGCTCGTTAAGCTGAAGACCCGGGTTCGGTACCCCACATGGGTCCAATGTGTGAAGCCAATTACTGGTATCCCTATTGGGATATTGCTAAAAGTGGTACACTCACTCACTCACTCACTCACTCACTCACTCGGTCCTTGCGTCTGCATGACAAACAAGAGATGTAGAAAATACGCTGCTTTATTTTCAGTGTATGATCATAACACGACCAGTCAGAAGCAGGTATGCATGATCACATTACCCATTAGGCTACAACCGTACATTTACTGCAACGCTACGATCCAATGGTGAAATAGACCCACATTACACCAATAAGTTAAATATACCAGACAGTATCGCATGGTTCGTTCTAAAACCGTTTCAACTGCTGTTGCCATGGCTATGCGTTAAGGGCATACAATGACATAAATCTAAACAACATCAATGTAAACTAACTTCACCTGTAACACAAAAACAGTTGGCAGCGTTATTTGGACACGTATCAAGTGTTTAATCCTGGTATCCCTGCAGGAGGTTAGTTTTTTATTCATACTTTACTAGGAAAATCTGCTTCTTTGGAGAATTAGGTCACCGAGAAAGTCGCGTTGTTCCTGGAGTTGATCTTGGCGGCAGAAAGAATAGCCTCTCGTTATGTGTGTTCTGGTTCTGTTGTCTGCTGAAACCATCACGCGAACTGTGACAGCTTCAATGAAATCCAGTTAGTCCTGAAATCAGATTGCTGTTAGGAACGTTAACATATAGTGAGTGCGTGAGTGAGGTTTTACGTAGCTTTTAGGAATATTTGGATTTATGTTTGAAGTAGAATACTTAATTCAGTCAGCGAAAAGACAAACACAGTTTTCGGGAACACATTTGTTTGTTTTTTTCAACAAATTTAAAACAAGTTAAGATACCATCTGTACGAGGGTATGGGCCTATTTATACGCAATGGTATACACCTTGTCGCACCAAAGATACAGATTTGAATCCAAGCAAGGATACAATGTGTGAATCCAGTTCTTGGCGTCACTCGCTGTGACAGTAGAAGCGGCGGACAACCCTGTTCGTCCCGTCACTCACTCACTCACTTGGAAGACGGATGAAGCAGGGAGGCAGAGTTATATGCTGTTTCTAATGAGTGAGTGAGTGAGTTGGGTTTAACGCCGCTTTTAACAGTAGTCCAGTTATATCACGACTTGTCAGCTTAATGTTGGAGGAAAGCCCGAAGTTATGTAGGTCTCAGACGTTTACCACTTCGGTGAAACCCACGAGCACGGGTATAGTGCTGACAAACCAAAAACATAATCGGGGCGAACCGGGATTCGAACCCACAATCTTAGGTTTCTGGCGTGTCCAAGGGGCGCAACTCTGCACAGCGAATCGCGGCGCCTTAGACGACTGGGCCACTTGTGCCCCCCTGTTATGACCAGCAATAGGTGACCAAGCCGCGTTGACCTGGTTGTCAGCAATATTCCCGCTATATGACGTGTAAATAAATGACTGGTTGATGGCCTGATCATGGTCCCACGGGCAATACTATTACCCCACCACAATTTGATTTTGTTATATTTACATCCAAACCATATTGATATTCTGCAGTCAGAAACATGTCAGATATATGACGATTGATAGCAGGACCAACGTCCTACACAATACTATTACCCATTTGATTTTTTATATTTATATATTTTTAAATACCGTTTTCTCACTGCAGACGTCATATCATCATCTTATTGAATAATACTGAGTAAATATTCCTCCTATATCAAGCGGACACACCGTCATATAACGGAAATACTGTTCAAAGCGGCGTTAAACCCCTCACTCTTTATTTTGACCTACACACTGAAAGTCATTTCACGGCTAGGTCGAATAAATAGCTTAAAATTGTAACCAGTAATTGATAAGAAAATCGCAACCAAATCCGATGAATAAGTAATGAGTTTTCTCGTTGCTAAATATGATTAAAAAGGAAATTGACTTGGTCTTCAAAATGAAATATTGTTTCTATTCACAGTTGTAAAATTCCCTTGTCCCAGAAGATATAGATATCACCAGCAGCATCGGGCACGTTACATGGTGATTTATAGACAGAATTAGTCGTTTCTAGTCGCCCCCAGCAAGCATATCATCAACGACTTCTACAACAGGCTTCACCATGAAACAACTGTCGGCAGAATGAGCCACCATGTATGCCAGCGGACAGGTGCGTAAGTGGTCTTTTATACCGCATCAATGTTGTTTCAGTTATTCCTGGCTTTTCTGGCTGACCGATGAATGGCCAAATATTGCCCGTGTCTGGTAAGTTACATGCAACATTTGGTTATTCGGGTGGTCAGGCTCGCCAGGTTAATAGAAGACATCATCTTGAGTGTGGAAATGTAGTATTGTAATAGAGTTTGCTTTAATATTTGTTTGTTTGTTTGTTTGTTAAGACCTTTTTTTAACCCGGATCTTCACGGGTCGATTGCATTAACAACATTGCTTGATATACATACATGTCAGTGATAATTGCTTCATTACAGTTACAATTCCGGGGCTATGTTTATTCAGATTAATTTCAAAACAACCCGTAAAGATCCCGGGTTAGAATAGGTCTTCAGCAACCCATGCTTGCCGTAAAAGGGGACTATGCTTGTCGAAAAGAGGCGACTAACGGGATCGGGTAGTCAGGCTCGCTGACTTGGTTGATGCATTTCATCGTATCCCAATTGCGTAGACCGCCTCCTTAGTCTAGTTGTACGTCCGCCAGGAGAGCGTCAGACCTAAAGACGTTAAAAGATGGTACTTGTTGATACCCTCTCTGGTGCTCGGCATTAAGGGGCTGAAACAAGAACTGGTCGGCTCGGAGTCAGTATACTGTTTCTGAGTGGGGTATTCATGTTTAACTGCGGCATGGTATCTCAGTGGGCTAGCACTATAAATCGGCATCAGTCCGGACTAGTACAAGCAGCCACATACACACACATACACGTGCATGCATGTCGCTTTATAAGTGCAATAATCTTGGACGCGACTTTAAACCCCATTTCACCTCACCTCACCTCACCTCACCTCACCTCACCTCACCTATTGCGTGGATCGATGCTCATGATGTCAATCACTGAATTGTCTGGTCCAGACTCGATTATTTATAGACCGCCGTTATCTAGCTGTAATATTGCTGAGTGCGGCGTTAAACAACATACAACAACAACAAATTCCAAAACCGCTGAGGGCGGTGGGGTAGCCATGTGGTAATAGCGTTCGCTCGTCACGCACAATGTATGAAGCACTGTAATCCAGCTGGGATAATGCTGAGCATAAAGCAACAATCATTTACTCATTACATACTACTGCGTTATTACATTTTGCGAAATGATCCGTCTGCTGTAGACGCTGCACACACACACACACACACACACACACACACACACACACACACACACACACACACACACAGAGTGACACGTACACATTTTCTCCCCTCGACCCCCACATACCACACTCCCTACACCCTCCTCCACCCCAACGAAATAATGGAGTGCCAGTTCTCGGAAACCTGCATCATTGCTGTTTTGTGTTGGTTAGCAACGACGTTTTGTCATGAAGCCAAATAAACGATGTGTTTTCCCCCACAATGCACAGGCCTGCCTGTGATGATGTTCCGTGCGTATTGACATAAACTATTTGCAGACATCATCATTTCATGTATATAAATGATCTTTTCATGATCTTAACACAAGTCTCGTGATACAGGCAGTGGTAATAATTTTAATTGAATGATAAGTTCTTCACATCAACGTAGAATCTTGGCTCCACCAATCTGACTGATGAGAAGGGTCTCTTTATCCTTGTATAAACTGACGTGCAAAAGTACACACTCATCTTTAATGGCGGCTAAAAATGAAACAAGGAAGAAAGGGATATTTGAGGTGATGTATTTGATTACCGTGCCGTATTGTACGTAGGGCCTTAAACTTGCAGTGTTTCAGGGACTGTTTTCAGCCTTGTAGAAGTAGAAGAAGTTTATTCATGAATGAGTTCATTTACATGAATAATATATGCTATGCACATGCACATATTTTCGTACAACAAACGTTCATATTTTTTACATTTGTATTTTCAGCCTAGTAACGGTTTTGATAACGTTTGATTTTTTTTTGTCAAATCCAATTTTCAAGTGTATACTTTCTTTTGCCCAGCAGTTTCTATACTCACCGACAAAAGAAACGCTAATATCATACATGTATGTTACTATATGAAGAATTACTCATATTCAAGGGATATGAGATTCGTTAGTCACACAAACGAACATACTGGTGTGTTGTGTGAACCGACGCTCATGAACGCATCACATGTGACGTCATAGACCCATGACTCGAAATGCACCTTTTGTCTCGCACAGGATTAGCGTGTAAAGTTTGGACACGTGCAGCATATCGTAATAGAATAATGACACTGTGGTAACACCTGGCTGATTGTATTTTTGACATTAATTGGTACACATTGGAAACATCTCCTCTTAACGTACATACTTCTCTATATGTTTCTCTGGTTCGCGTTTCTTTTGGCGGTGAAAACATAATTACTTCATCAGTTAGTTTAGATTCAGTAAATCAGCCAACAAATACAAACCGACAATGACAACATCCTAACACAGATATCCAACGAATCATTGAAAATGTTGAATATTTCAACAAAAACGGCACCGCATCTTAAAACATATAACGTGTGTCATTATTGGCAATTAACACTCAACTCCGAATGGCCTGGAGAAGAATCCGATTCCGGTTTGAGAACAATCTCAACATGTTTGGATAAACCGGTTCCGTTTGCGGGTTGCTTGTTTTCCGTTTGTTCTGTCATATTAAAAGAGGACTTAGACGTAAAGAAGTCACTGTTCGAGAACCGGTTGGGACAGATTCCAGTTTCTTTCTGGGTGGTGTTCAATGGATTATAACAACGATCTTGCGTTCCACTGTTCGTTTTCTTCTGCTGGTAGAGAGCATAGACTTTTGGAATAAATAGACACAACAAGCACACTGAACTGTTTACAATTAACGCTATAGATAGTATGATGACTTTATAATACGCTAAAGATGTGGTGAAATACGTTGGAACGAAGGAAATCCACACTAAAAGCGTCGTGTCCACACAAAACGCGATATAACGAGACTCGTTGTAGTTATCCGGAAGTCGCCTCGTTTTGAAAGCGTAAAATACACAGATTATAACCAGAACGAGGTTGAAGGACAGGGATGACAGGAGGCCCACTAAGGGCATATCGCAGTACAGCTCCACAAATCTTTCAGTTCTCACAGGCATGCTCTTTGCAACACGTGGAGGCGCCAGACTCGTCGAAACAGTCACCAAGATTACCTGAAATGAAAAGATGCATACTTAATACTCTGGTTTCTTGAGTGGGTAAACTATGCATTCTAGAAGACCATTGAATGCGGTTTTTTGGACGACGAGTGAGTGAGTGAGTTGGGTTTAACGCCGCTTTTAACAGTATTCCAGTTATATCACGGCGTGTCAGTTTGATGTGGGAGGAAAGCCCGAAGTGATGCAGGTCTCACACGTTTACCGCTTCGGTGAAACCCACGAGCACGGGTATGGTGCTGACAAACCTAGAAACATAATCGGGGCGAACCGGGATTCGAACCCACAATCATAGGTTTCTGGCGTGCCCAAGGGACGCAACTCTGCACATCGAATCGCGGCGCCTTAGACGACTGGGCCACCTGTGCCCCCTTGAGGACGGATGAGGAGTACATGCTCATGTCCCATGTCATCATCAATGGCAGACTCAGAATCTTCAGGAGAAACAAGTCAGATTCAGAATGTTCACGAGACAAGTCAAAATTAGGCATCTTCACGAGAGACAAGTCAATAGACAAAACTAAAATGCATATTATCAAATCTAAACATGTACATGTATTTATAATGATTCTAAAATCGGTTTCACAGCAATTAATCTTTATGTCTGTAACTATTGGTAATGGGTGGCCCCTGGTCCTACACGCCTGATATTGGATGGAAAGTTTGGTAAGCGAAGCTCTGATTGGTCGGATGAAAGGTCGTTCTGACGTGAATCGTAATGCGATGTCCTCATATCTTTGTTTAGCAGAAGCAAGAACTAAGGTCTGATTTTAATGAGATTGAGCCAACATGTAACTCCATAATTTCAGCCTAGTTCGGCAAGGGTTGAAATGGATTTTTATATTCAGGTATAATTATGGCTGGGTAATTTTGCGGAGAAATATATTGGTTCAATGAAGACTGTGGTAAGAAATCAATGTTTGAAATGTTGCAAATTTGTTCAGATAAAAAGCAAATTTATTTACTTCAAAGATATGATGTCTAAGATATTCATCAACAGTTGTGTATTATGCAATTGTATTTTTTGAATTTTTAAAAGTGATAAATCAAATTAGATTTCAGAAAAAAAAACAGGTAGAAGTATCCTTTGAGTGTTGACTGAGCTCCAGTACATTTCAACTGAAATTCAAACGCAGGAGCAAATCAACTGAGAGGTAAATCTGTATTTTCTTTTGCCTTTCAGAAACAAGACTGAAGGTATCCTAATGGTCACAGAGTCTGCTAAATAGTGACCTGATCACTGTGAGTTAGTGAGTCAGTTTAAATAGTATTTCAGCCATTGAACTAGAGCATATCCCATATTAATATTTTATGAAAATACATGTGAAACAGATCCGTGAAGATCTGGGGTAGGATAGATCTTCAGCAACCCATGCTTGCCGTAAAAGGTGACTGTGCTTGTCGTAAAAGGCGACTAACGGGATCGGGTGGTCAGACTCGCTGACTTGGTTGATGCATGTCATCATATCCCAATTGCGTGGACCGATGCTCATGATATCAATCCCTGGATTGTCTGACCCAGACACGATAATTTACAGACCGCCGTCATATAGCTGGAATATTGCTGAGTGCGGCGTTAAACAACAAACAAACATGATGACAACGCTTCATGTTGTCTAAATCATTTGAAACCTCTTCAAGGATCAATATCAACACGGCCTCTCTCTTAATAATCAATCACATTTTACATCTCCATTGAGTTTTCCAATTTTACGCCCGAAACCAATTGATATCCATTAAGAGCCTTAAGTGTTCAAAGACTGTTGCTTCCTTTAACACGCCTTTTGTTCCCTTGCGTCAATAGATAGGAACGCCGTCTTGCCATTGTATATACAGAGGACGTGGTGCTGCTAGGATACCGAACACGTGGGTGAAGCGTTATATGCTAGTTCTCTTTTAACCAAATGGTTTCAGTCTAAACTAACTAATTTTACCGGCACACGTGGTTTCAAGGGGAGAAAAATAAACTCTTATGTCGATCTCTCAGTCGTTGATTTCTTTTTTTGTTGAAGTAAGTTTATAGCAAGCCTTCTGAAGCTGATTATAACTAATTCCTCCACTTTCATTTCTTCTCAACTTAACAAAAACTCAACATGTTAATTGACGATTATCACACGAGGCTCGGTCTTGTAACCTTTCAGTGTTGAATGCGTGTGGTCCCTTAATGTCGGTTATTTCACCTTGCCCCTTCTCCTCTTTAAGTATCAATGGTCGCCACGACGATGTCAAGCCCACATTAAACTGTTATAAACACAGTTAAAGGTATATTTACAAGCACTTTAGTTTACAGAACTTGAGCCTGTGAGTGGTTGGGTTTTCGCTTGTGCGTCTTAAGCCCCATTCACATGGACACTTTTTTGCTTACGTGAGTATATATACTTACATAAGTAAATTTACTTATGGTGGCATGTGAACGCATTTGCTTACGTGAGTAAATATACTCCAGGAGTAAAGAGACATGAGTAAAAATATATTTGCTACACCTGATGAGGTCTAGTAAAAGTATATTTACTCATAAGTATAAATGCTCCTGGAGTATTTCTGGTCATGTGAACAGATTCTCTATTTGCTTACGTAAGCATATTAAATCGAAGATACTGATAATCAGTAAAGAATTCCGAATGTGCAGGAAAATACGGCTGTAGTTCCTTGCAAAGAACATAAAATGTTTCGCGTGTCATGCGAAAGTTATCGATCAACAGTTTATCATCAAATGATCGTTTGACGACATTGTTCCACCAGTGTTGAGAACGTTCTCTCTTCGACAGTTCTCTTTCCTGGCATAATCCTAAGACTAATCCCATACTAAGAAAGTATAGAAATTCTCTCTTTCGCCTCTGGTTGATTATCTTCGACAGCGACATGGCATCAAATGATAAAAGTCCACAATTTATTTATGAAATGATGTTTACTTCTGCCTTGCATAAACTTCATGTGAACGCAATGTAAAATATACTTTTGCTTACATGAGTAAATATACTCCATGAGTAAATTTGCTTACATGAGTAAATTTTGTCCATGTGAATGGGGCTTTTGTCAAAAACGAAAGCAAATGTCATCTACTGAGAAAACAATATATGAAATGCCGGACTTTCCCATTGTCAACTTTCTCTTTTTGTCGAGCAATATTCCTGCACCTCCAGTCCTTGGAGTCTACATTTCTCAACTTTTGAGATATAATCGAGCATACTCTTTCTACCAACATTTCAAGGAGCATCATACGACTCTAACTCAGAAATAGTTTGAGGTTACAAAATTCAAGGTCTCAGTAAAGGTTTCAAAAAGATTAATGGTAGTGAGTGAGTGAGTGAGTGGGTGAGTGAGTTGGGTTTAACGCCGCTTTTAACAGTATTCCAGTTATATCACGGCGTGTCAGCTTAATGTAGGAGGAAAGCCCGAAGTGATGCAGGTCTCAGACGTTTACCACTTCGGTGAAACCCACGAGCACGGGTATAGTGCTGACAAACCTAGAAACATAATCGGGGCGAACCGGGATTCAAACCCACGATCATAGGTTTCTGGCGTGCCCAAGGGACGCAACTCTGCACAGCGAATCGCGGCGCCTTAGACGACTGGGCCCCCCGCGCCCCCCGTTTAATGGTAGACATGAGGAGCACATGTCTAAATTTGACGCATCAGTGACAAGACTGATGTCTGATGCAATTCCTATTTTGTACCATATGTTCCGGTGTTTTTTTCAGCTGAACAATTGACTTGCCTTTGCGTGTGTTTGTGACGGGTGCCACCGTTGAGGCAGGATACGCTCAACTTTTCGCGAACACATGCTCATCATGTAGTCGGAATCGTACAATCGCCACAGCTTTTGACAGAGATTTCATATGAATATGGAAAGGGTGTTGTCTCCTTTATTAATTAGACATGCAACCCAGGGTATCTCCCACAGACCTGGCTACGTCCACACTAGGAGGTGTACGCAACACCAGCTATCAGGAAACGGTTTTGACGTGTGACGTAACGGGTGACGTATGCAACAGTTGAGTTCGACATAGATCTACAAAAATAGATCACAGTTTCTAAATAAACATCACGTTCTAGAAATAATTAAAACCATCCTGCAAGCAACGTTACGGGCGGAGGGGATGCATGTTGTTGATGAGGCTGACTTGAAGAACTGATCTGATGAAATTATCTGGGAAATGTTTTTTTTCTTCAAAATTTGAAAAAAGATGTAAGTATATCAGTGTCGCGCTTGGGCAACCCAAAATAGAATCCTAGTAATCGGCGAGGAGAAGAGAGCGATAAACAATTTTTCTTTTGCCTGAAGCAACGCTTTTCACACACTAATACGACTTTACGACTTATAACTGTACAATCGAAAAATTGCGTTTTCTTACAAAACTACGGACACTATCACCAGGTGACCCGAGTCTTGATGCCTTACGTTGGACCAGAATAGTGCTGCCTGCAGATAAAACGACATTCACTTATCCATTGTAAGTACAATTAATCGTCTTCAAATTAACGTTTTTCTTGAATAGCCAAATACTATTTACTTAAAATCTTTGGCTTATGTCAGACTTAAAGCCACAAATCAAGCATGTGGAAGTACCAGTGTTGAAGTACCAGTTGAAGCACCTCCAGTTGACACCACAATGCTGTGATACATCTCGGCATTTCCTAGCGGTTGAAGCATTCGCTCGTCACGTCCGGGTTCGATGCCCCATATGGGTATAATGTGTAAAGTCTATTTCCGGTTCCCCTGCCGAGATATTGCTGGGATATTGCTGAGACCATACTCATCATTCACTCACTCACTCACTCACTCAGCATGTAGGAAACAGCCGAATGTTCGGGAGTTAATGTTTTATGGAGCTTGAAGCTCAGAAACACGAAATAAAATTCATCTGGTGATTGACAACTGTTTATACGTTTATGATGGCTGCATATCACTCACGAGTAGAATTTGTCATTTATTTCACAATGCCGCTGTTTCAGAGTGTCAATATTCTCATAATGACTGGTGGCACAATCATCTG